TATTTTCTTAGTTTTTATGATTATTTTCTGAATAGTCAAGTTTACTTCTTCTCTGTTCCACTATTGGTTCACTTAACACACTTAAAAAATTTTTATGGCTTTTGTTTAAGTGGCTTTCTTAGCTACCTCAGTTTGTTTTGCATAAATTATATATATATACATTTCTAAATGCTAAGGAATAGATTTTATCTTGGAAGCTTAGTTTAATATCATTTCTGTCACATGTTTTAAATCACTGAAGTTTCTCTTTTGAGGACTTCAAAATTTTTCTGTCTTTTTAAAGGACTGGGGATGCAGCTTAGTCAGTCTCCAGTACTGAGCAAAACAAAAGTGTGGTTAGTCTTCGCATAAAATAATCTCTTTTTTATGCCATTGAGATAGTAATGGTAGTTAATACCTTAGTTGACACATGTAGAACTAATAATTCTTAATTTTAAAATACAGTTTAAGCAGTGAGTATATAATACTGTGTTGGACTCTACACATGGAAACATTTAAAATTCATTTTCATCTTTCTTACCAAATGAATAATATTTGCAGATTCAGGGAAACCCATGCATGCATCCCATTGTAGATACTATCTGTCAATCTTTATGTCAGTTGCTTTGAATATTCATAGTGCTCCTTAGTGATTCCTTTAATTCTCCTCATACCCACAATGCTGGAGATCATACCCAGGGCCTCACCCAAGCTAGGGAAACATTTTACACTGAGCTACATCCCCAGCCTCTTCCATCAATTCTTGAAAGAAGCCATATGCATAATTCACATTCACCATCATTACTTGGATAATTTGTTACTGTTAATTATTAAATATAGAACAGTGTAGATGCGAAGCTTCCCTTTACTCTTAAATTTTAAAATTAATCTACATTCAGTGGCACATAACTGTAATCCCAGCATTCTAGAAGACTGAGGCAGGAGCATACCAAGTTTGAGTCCAGACTGAGTTATTTATTTATTTTTATTTTAAAGAGGAAAAAAAATCAGTTTCAAAACAAGGTAGTAGGAGAGTAGCAATGGTTAATACATTGCGTATTGTTATCTTAGTGATTCAGAGTACAAGATACAGGCATTTAACTGTCCAAACAATATTAGCACAAACCTTTTTTTTCAGTGAACTAAGAGAAATTAGTAGTGTAACTATCTTAACTATCTTGTATGTGTGTATTGTTGTTGTTGTTGCTTTTTTACTGTTCCCTTTCCTGTCTCCTTTCTCCCATCCAGACTGGGTAATTTAGCAAGACCTTGACTCAAAAGAAATTTTGGAGGGGAGATGTGGCTCAGGACACAAGACAATAAAGATAAATAAATATCAGTTCTTCTGAGATTATATATTTCTGTTAATAAATTATAGATTGGTCTGTCAGTTTTGCTTTTGGTTCATGGTATGCTCTGTGGTCACAAAAACTGCTGTGTGAAATAAACTCCTATGTAAGACTCTATTCAAAGGCAATTATTTTACAAAAGAAAGCTATAAGAATTTATTCATATACTACCTGGGTAAGAGAATAATTTTAAGAAACATTTCCAGGTTTATAAAGAATTGGCACACATGCCTGTAATCCCAGCACTTGGGAGGCTGAGGCAGGAGGATTGCTGTGAGTTCGTGGCCAGCCTGGGCTGCAAAGTGAGTTCAAGGCCAGCCTGAACTGCATAGCAAAACCCTGTGTCAAAAAGGCCAAAATAAATAAATAAATTTGCAAGAGTCTTAAAAAAAACAAATAAAATTATGATGTAGAAATACATTATAATTATCTGCTCATTGAGGAAATAAAAGTATTAAAACATTTTTATGTTGGCATTTCCGTGTTTTTCATATGCTGCAATGAAACATAGATATCTACATTTCTAACAGCAAATAGTGATTCTACCAAATAGGGGGTGAGGAAGTAGCATGGAAATTATAAATAAGAGGAATATATAAGTGAGGCAGGATTGTATTGTATTTTAGTTCTATAGGCTGTTAGTTAAATTGTTTCTTGTTATTTTATTTAGTGATATAATGATTCAAAGGTCTTTATAGATATTTCAAGTGCTTTTACAATGTCCTAGGAGTATTCTTTAGTGCTTTTCTGGGAATGCTTGCAATTGACAAATTAGTGGTTAGAAATCTAAAAGGTTCCTGATGCCATTATTTTTATGTGTATTTACATTTTACATTATTTTTACATGTATTTACATTTTAATATTAAGGATACTTTTATGAGTTAATATAGAAATAGTTTGGCTTATATATAGTTCTAGAAATGAAAGGTATTAGCTCTCTTCTTGTAGAAATAGCTAATAGTTACCTCTAAACCCTTAGTATTTTCCCTTTATCAGATAATTTTACTGTGATAACTTATATCCAGAGCACTTTGAGTAGTAAGTCTGCTTCTTTTTTCAACCTACATTTATTTGCCAAATTAATTTAATACATATAACCAACTTTTGGCTTCTGACTTACTATAAAACAAAGTTTTCATGATACTCTCTTTGAGCACTCAAGGATACACTTAATGTCTACTGGTTTGTTATGAAGGATATTTTAAAGGGTACACCTGCTAGATGAAGAGACACATAGGGCCAGGTCTAACAAGGGCACTGAGTGCCAAGACTTGCATCCCTGTGGAGTGGGTGTGCTTCCCCCAGCCTCAGCCCATGGATGTTTCTTGTTTCCCTCCCTGGAAGCCCCCTGAACGTAATCCTTTTGGATTTTTATGGAGGCTTCATTATGTAGATGTGATTTTATTAAGCCATTGGCCATTGATGATCAACTCAACCTCAGTGCCTTTGGCTTCCCTGGTGGTGGGGTAGTAAGGCTGTGAGTTCTAGCCCTCTGAACACATAGTTTGTTTCCAACAACCAGTTCCCCATTGTGTGGTTATCCAGACACTTTCTAAAGTCATGTCACTAGTGTGAACTCTAGAGCTGTTGGAGGGGCTTGTTACAAGTAACAAAAGACTGTCCTTCACCTTTATCATTCTGAAGTTAAAGGTAAAAATTATAACCAAAAATTCACTTTTTGTTCCAGTTCTCTGGAAGTTATACATACACACGTACATATAATTATAGTGTTACCATCACATAACTTGCTTTTGAATTTGTTACTCCTTTTCACATATGCAGTCCTTCTGTCTGCCTGTTCGTTTGTTTGTTTGTTTGAGACAGCATTTTACTATGTAGCCCAGGATGGCCTCGAACTTGCAGCGATCCTCCTGCCTCAGCATTCCAAGATTTGGGATTACAGGCATGCACTACCACACCCAGCTTCCATCTGTCTTTGACAAGGATTCTTAAGATGTTCATATTCTGCATTCTCATACACATAATACTTAGATTCAAAAGGATGGGTGCGGGAAAGCTGCTTAATAGAAACAGAAGTTTACAGCATTAATGTTGCATGCTTTGTGTGTTCCACTGCAAATATTGGATGCTGCTTACTTACATTTTTCTAAAAAGAAAAGAACATAGGTTCATAGGCACACACAAAAAAAATTTAGTATTGTTTTTGCCAATAGTTGGAACAAATGGAGGAATATTAGCTGTACTTTTCCTATTTTTTCTAAAATGAGTTCTGTTACAATTTTTCAAAAAGCAAGGAAAAAATTATATATAAACCCAAAGTGGCTACAAATCAGCTCCTTAACTGTCACTGACATTAGTGTCTAGATTTTGTAGTTTTTACAAATCTTTAAAAATATTTATTAAGAAAACATTGCATTAATGCATGATACAAAATTGATAAATTTTTCTTTAAATTGGAATGCAGTTCAAAAGTGACTGAATTTTCTAATTTCAGCTACTGCATTTGACAAGGATACAAACTGAAAAATGGAACTGGTATCATCTAATTCTGTTAGGTTCTTTGACTTGTAGTAGTTGGCAAAAATCCTTCATTGTGGCATTGTGTAGATCATATTCATGATGGCTAATATTAATACTATGTTCCCAGCCTTCAGAGCAATGAAAAATTCTGGGTAGTCATAGTTTTTTTTCAAATAATTTAAATCATTTTGATACATGTTTTCCATCAAAAAATATACCATTGGCATTTAGCTTTTAATGAATTAAACACCGACATTCTTACATTTTGCTTTTTATAATTGCTATGAGGATGAAAATGAATTAAAACTGGATATGAATAATTGCTGTTTAACAGTACATCACAACATTAAATAATTGTACACATTAAAACGACTGTGGCATAAATAGCTATAGATACAAATTACTTTTAGATTTAAACACATCTTTTAGTTGTCACATTGCCTATTTTTATTTTTGTGTGTACAATTATAAACCTTTCCATATCTTGTATGAAATAAAATGTTATTTGTATAATTTTACCAATAGCAACTTCCAAACTAAACAGTATTAGTGTAACTCTAAGGCTATGCTTTTGAGGGCCAAAGTATTATCTTCAGTGTGACTGTCGGATGCCACATGGTCTGAAAATTTCTACTTAAATCTTCCTTTTTGCTAGGCAGAATCGGTAGATAGTTTTATATTTTAAAATCTTTTTATAGAAATTATTTCTGATGCTCTTCATGCTTAACTTTTTTGCTAGACTTCATTTATTATTACATTAGGAAATTCCCCTAATAATCACAATTAAACAGACCCTTTAAAAGAGGAAGAAATAGTAGAAACCATTTTCTGGGCATGTAATCAAGAAATTATAAGAGAATCCACCTAGTAACCAGTTCTTACCCTGCTCTCCATTCAGTCTTGAAGGATTTATTTATTTTAGAGCTTATGGTTTTGAACTGCCACTTTTAGCTCCTAGAGACTCTGGGTGCTTGTTTATGTTGTCTAGAACCCAGCATGTTCCAAGTCAAACCCTTTCCACCTTTATTTTCCTATATTTTTTAGCCAATCACAGTGATGACGGTACCAGTTCCATTTTCCCTCCAATTCAGTTGGTTATATATTTTTTCTATTTATTTCTCATTTTATAATTGATATCTGGAATAATAAGCAGATCTTTTCTCATTTATTTTCTCATATTTTTATTCCAGGATTTGCCTCTGAAGCAGGGAGTGTCTGCATTAAAAATGACCTGTAGTTCTCTGCTTCATAGGTTAGAAACTTATTTTAATATTTTGTGGCTAAGCACAGTCCCACTTTTCAAATTCTATAATGAATTATTTAATTGGCATTGAATGTGGACCACAAGCATATATTTTATATTGGGGTTTTCTTTATTACTTTAAATGATTAAATTTCAACAGAATGTCCAGCTGAGGCAATAAAAGCTTTATTCTTGTTTTATAGTTTAAAACATTAAATTAGATTTTAAAATTCTATTGATTATAACAGAAGAGTAATAATGCTATTTGGGCATTTTTTAAAAATAATATTTCTTAGGCCTTACATTGCTTGAAACATTTATATTCTAAAACTTAACCAAATTCCAACTATTCATTTTGGGGAAAAACAATCAGTTCACAAATCAGATTTTCAATGGGACTGCTAGCCAGCATAGGTGAAAATATGGATAGTGTATTTACTCTTGGATTGTACACTGCAGATGCTTCTTCAGCTCCCTCCTCTTCCTCCATGGGCGGTGCTTGCAGCTCCTTTACCACCTCTTCCAGCCCTACCATTTATTCTACCTCAGTCACCGACAGCAAGGCTATGCAAGTGGAGAGCTGCTCCTCAGCCGTGGGGGTAAGTAACAGAGGGGTAAGTGAAAAGCAGTTAACCAGTAACACAGTTCAGCAGCATCCATCAACCCCGAAGAGGCACACAGTTTTGTACATCTCACCACCACCTGAGGACTTGCTGGATAACAGTCGGATGTCCTGCCAGGATGAGGGGTGTGGATTGGAATCTGAGCAGAGCTGCAGTATGTGGATGGAGGATTCCCCCTCCAACTTCAGTAACATGAGCACCAGTTCCTACAATGATAACACTGAGGTACCTCGTAAATCACGAAAACGAAATCCAAAGCAGAGGCCGGGGGTCAAACGGCGAGATTGTGAAGAATCTAATATGGATATATTTGATGCCGACAGTGCCAAAGCACCTCACTATGTGCTTTCTCAGCTTACTACGGACAACAAAAGCAACTCAAAAGCTGGAAATGGGTTGGTATTCACATTTTTTAAAGTTCTCTCACCATTATACAAAACAAAACAAAAATCATTCCCAATTTTTCTTAATTGCTCAGCTAAAGTTTGCATATAAAAGAAAGGTGCTAAGTTTATCATTGAAATAAATGACAATTTTAACTTAAAATTAGCAAGTTTTACTAGAGAAATAAAAATAAATGACAGTAGATTGCACGAGTAGGTATCCTATTATGAGGGTAGTTAGGTAAATAAACAGAAAGTGATCTATTTTGTTCTTGTTTTTCTTTTTGTGGAATGGAGGTTGAACCCCAGACTTTGTGTGTGCTAGTCAAGTATTCTACCATTGAGCAGCAGCTCCAGGCCTTTGCAAATTTTATCTTCAAAAAGGGTTTCACAAAGTTGCCTAGGCTAGCCTCAAACTTGTGATCTAAGTTTCCTGGTCTAGCCTTGAACTTGTGATGCCTCAGCTTTCTAAGTAGCTGGGATTGTGGGCGTATACCAGCACCTCCAGCTGAAAATAATCCGTTTTGAAATAACTTTTAAACCTCAGATATTTTTAAAAATATTTTTACTCATAGAAATAGTATACTAATGTAATGGTGGTAGCTAGACCAACTCAAAATATTCTTCAAAAACTAATTTGCATTCTATTTATAATTGTATTTTTGTATGATTCACTTCATTACATTTTTGGGAAGCTTTTAGATATTTTCTCTTTGCTTGATGAAAACAAGGAAATACTGTGGTTTGATTCTCATTTAAGTTCATATGTCTTAACCTTTTTCCTTTGATACGCTGTGTAATTCAGGATTTTTTTTCTTTTTAAATCACTACTTTTTCCCTATAATTCTGGGTTAATTACTGGGACAGTAGTGGAACATGGTACACATTTAAGTTTTTATTCATCTTTACCAGTTCACACTCACCAAGTGTATTTCAGTAGCTATATTGTAGAATATTTACTACTATAATGCACACTAGTGTGGCTTATTTTAACTTTTAATTATTTTAGTATTTTACTTGTAATATTTAATTGCTAGGTTTTTTTGCGGGGGGGTTGTTTTGGTTTTTGGTTTTGTTGAGACTGGGTCTCATTGTGTAGTTCAGCCTGGCTTTGAACTCACTGTGTCACCCAGACTGGCCTTGAACTTGTGGCAGTCCTGCCTCAGCCTCCCGAATGCTGGAATTACAGGTGTGCACCACCATGCCCAGTGTTGCTAGATTTTTTAGATAAGATTTTTTTTTTCCTGTGTATCCAGTGTAGTTTAATAAAATTTAACTCACCAGATTTTGAGAATTACTCTTTTGAGAAACAGGGTATGATCTTTTAATTGACCCAGAATCCTTTTAGGTTATCACAAAAAAGCAGATCGGTAACTTTAGATTGGTTTATTAATTGATGAAATCATTGATCCTCACTAACATTAAAAATCTGGTTTAATATTATAGATAATATTCTTAATATATATTAAACTTGTCCTTAAATAGTCACGTATTTTCAAAGTAATATCTGTCATTTAAGGAGGAAATAGTCTATACAACTTTTTTTTTCTCTCTTTTTCTTTTTTTTTCTTGAGACAGAGTCTCACTATGTAGTTTAGGCTAGCTTTGAACTCTCTTAGTAGCCCAGGCTGGCCTGGAACTCATAGTGATCCTCCTATCTCAGCCTCCCAAGTGCTAAGATTCTAGGTGTATGCCGCCACGCCCAGCTGATTATACTACTTTTATACTTTCATTTAAAACTCCTTTGGAGTTATATTTGTAAATAAAAATCTACATTTAAATGCTTCTTAGTTTTAGAAAGTGCAGATTAGGAGATTTCCTAAAAGACAAAAAGGGTTAAACCTGGTGTGATTGTGCACATGTATAATCCTCAGTACTTTGGAGGCTGAGGCAGGAGGATTTCCTTAAGTTCAAGGCCAGTCTGGGCTACATAGTGAGTTCAAGACCAGCCTGAACTACATAGTGAGGCTCTGTCTCAAAAACTCAAGGGGTGGGGGAGAAAGAAAAAGAAAAGAAAACAAGAATACCCTTGCTAAAATATTTTCATTTCACAGTTAGAAATTCCAGACCATAGTATTTGTAGGACTACGACATAAAGATCAAAGATCTGAAGTATGAAATACCATAAATCACTTAAGTAAATGTGACTAGTAGCACAGATCTAAAAGGTTTATGAATGTCATAAAAAAAAAACATGTTTATTTGGTCTTCAATGGAGAAAGTCTTTATGAAATTCCAGTGGAAGAGATTTTTTATATTTGTACTAAAATAGATTTCAAAGGTTCAAATTAAAAGCAAATAAAATTTTGGCTTAGGGATAGTTAATATAGTGATTTTCAGTTGCTAATTAAAGAGATATCTTGACCTACATCTTTTCTGCTTCTGCTTTTGTATGATAGATATATCTTAGAAATGATTTGAGGTTACCCAGGGAAAGTATAATGACATTGGTCAAGACAAAATCTTTCATGAAATAATTCATGGAGCAGAAACTCCATCAAGCAGCAGAAGAATTGTCCAGCTTCTTAGGTAATGGAAAATTATTTGACACTAGTATATGGAAATGATGAAGAAGTTTAAAATTTGAATTTATAAGATCTATATTGAAGAAAGGATGAAACCATATGTAAAATACATAGGAAAACAGGCTTAAACAGTTTTTTCAGAGCATTTCATGCTAATAACCTATCTTCTTCAACAGTAAGAAAGATGATAGAAACATGAAATTTTTACGTTTTCAGTGTTGTTACATAGCATTAGATCTATTGCAGCTAATATATCATAATTTGAAATTTTCATAATGCTCAGTGTCTGCTTTTTAAAATGTTGCATTCAGCAGTTTATGGATCTTTAACATACCACTGAGTCTTGATGACCTGTGGATGGAGATACCATTGTAATTTTAGAGTTTATTGAGGAAAAAAACCGTAAAAAGATGGCTTAGTATTTAAATATTGCTTATATGCACTCTTACTTCCTTCAACTAAAGTCCAGAGAATCAGTAGCCCCATATCTCTTCTAGATATTTCTGAAAATTATTTCTAGAAGATAAGATGTAATGTGAAATCTATTTTAGGTATTTTGTAGTGAAAACTATTTTTGTGACATAGCCAGAAGGATTATCTAGCACCAAAGAATTAGAATATCATTTAAAGACTTTGGAATATAATATGCCACAACAGTGAATTTTCCTTTTTAATTGTCATTTGCAAGTAAAACTCCAGCTTTGGGTGTAGCACATTGGTAGAGCACTTACTTGCCTAGCATGCTCAAGGCCCTGAGTTTGATCCCCAGCTCTCAGCACTGGGTACAGAAAAAAGAACGAAAAGTAGCAAGATCCCAAAGAAGGGTCATGTTTTCCCCTTAAGCGTGTGTACTTGAAGTATTTGCAATTTTAGTGACAACTTTTCCAAGACTTAGTTGATACTTTCACTGTTTTACAGGTCTGTAGCTCTAGATATATATGTTTTCCATCTTTATATTTAAGCTTAGGTAATATACAGTTTTATGTACTTCAAAAAATCACTTAAGAAATTGTTTAATTCCATGTACTATTATTAAGTCTTAACATACATATTTTGTCAACTCACTCAGCAGTGTTCATGCCAAGTAAAATATTTTGTTTTACTGGAATAATAAAACTTACTTTTATGTATTTACCCTGATTAAAATATTAGCGAGTATAAAAACTGCATCTGGGAGCGAGGGATTTAGCTCAGCGGCACAGCACCTGCCTGGCAAGTGCGAGGTCGTGAGTTCGATTCCCAGTACCTGGTAAAAAACAAAAAACTAAACATCTGGCCAATTGACATACAATACAAATTTTACGTATATTACAAATTAAAATTTTACGTTACAAAGTTTATAGGTATGAATTAGAAATGTTTGAAAAATACAGCAAAATAATCTTGTTAGCACAGCTGCTACTATTACTTTGTTACACTGTCTTCTAGTCCTTTTATATGTATACACAAGAAATGTTCGTACATTGTTTCCGTAAGTGAATTATTTGCTTTGAGGTTCACAAGTATAAAACAGAATAATATTATCGAATTTTATGTATATGGAATTACACACTATTCAGACCAAATATTTGAATCTCTACCCAGAATGATGAAGAGTAGGGTTTATAAATCCCATTGTTCCATCTTCATTTTGATAATTTTGTTCATAGAGTTTATTTTTGCAAGGTCTCTTAGTTACTTACCTAGGTTATCTTCGACTTAATTATGTGAAACTTATGTGAGTGGCATTCCTTGTCTAGTTAGGATATGTTGTTTCTCATCTTAACATTATATAGTAGAAGCTTTATTTTTCCTCTGGTGTCCTTTGTTCTTCTGCCTACTTGCCTTCATTAACAAATCTTCAGTGCCTCTTATATGAAGTATGTAATCTTTAGGCAATATGAAGATGATTAAACAAAGCCCTTGCCCTCAGAACTTTTCTTCTAATCTAGTCAGTCTTACTACATTTCTGTGTCAGTTCTATCTCTCTGTTCCTCTGCCCTTGTCCTAGTTAAGAAGTTCAACCCAGTCCTTACTTCTGTTGAGGGCAACACTGCCTTTCTTCCCTTTCTTCTTGATGATTGAGGCAATGACTTGGTTCCACCTAGAATGGTAAACATTAGAGTGCAGTTTAAGGCTGTTTAGTTAGCTCCGCTGTGTTTGATCATAATATTCTTTCTCGGACCTGGTTATGGAGGAGATTTTGTCTACATTGTCTCATGATTTCTGAATCTTCAATGTAAATCAAAAAGTTTTATAGGTCCTGACTCATTTAAAATGTACATGGATAATTTTAAATCTAGTTCACGTTGCTCAAAGAAAAAACTAAATATTTTCTAGTTAACACCTATTGCATTGCTTCAGTTATTTTAACGGAGTAAGTGTGCTGTCTTGAAGTTTAACCACTATTAGGGATATTGTTTCTCTTTGAACATACATTCTGTCTAGCACACACTAGCACATGCACTGTTAAACAATAAATGTTCAAAATACAATTAAAAATTATTCTAATTTTCTAAAGCCCAATAATAGAATTTTAAGTGAAAGCTTTAATCATTTAATCAAAAATAAAAATGCTCTGAAAAATCACTTCTGAGAAAGATTGTTTAGAACAAAATTCATTTCCCAATAAAAATTTTTTGTGTGTGTTTTTGAGGCAGGGTCTTGCTGTGCAGTTCAGGGTGGCCTTGAGCTCTTTTTGTAGCCCAGGTTGGTATCAAACTCAATGATCCTCCTGCCTGAGCCTCCCAAGTGTTAGGATTACAGGTGTGCGCCATCACGCCTGGCCCCAATAAAAACTGAATCACTATTTTTTTAATTAGTCTCTCATGTTGATTGAAAAAGAGATTCAAAAGGACATACTGTAGATACCTTTGTTTTAGCCCTATTTTGGGGGTAGGGGTAGTACTGAAGATTAATCCAGGAGCCTGGCACATACTAGGTAAAAACTCTACCACTGAGCCACATCCTGACTTTTTTAAAAAGGTCTCTGTGTGTATGTGTGTGTGCGTGCATTGTATTATGTTTTGATTCTTTTGCTTTGCAAGTATGATTAGAAAATAATAATAGTTAACCTTTTATATTTATGTAAGACTGATACATAGTTTTAAAATTTTATTTTGAGTACAGTTTTAAATTTTATTGCGCTCAATCATACTTCCTCTTTCTGCTTATGTATATATTCTTTCTCTTGTCCGACTTTCTTTTTACATTAGATTTTACATTAGTAAGTTTTGTTTAAAAATTTTAAAGATAGTTTGCTTATGGACTGTATCTTCCTTTAGGCTTTGTTTTATTTTGTCAGTAAGCTAGCAGTTGTTAACGGTATTGTCTATTCTGTTTCTTTATCTTAGACAGCTTTTGTAGAAAACTGTTTTTGATATTTTCTTCATGTTGTTCTTTGATTTCTCAGAACGTTAGACAACCAAAAAGGAACGGGAGTAAAGAAGAGCCCTATGTTGTGTGGACAGTACCCTGTTAAAAGCGAAGGCAAGGAGCTGAAGATAGTCGTACAACCTGAGACCCAGCACCGAGCCCGGTACCTGACTGAGGGCAGCCGCGGCTCAGTAAAAGACAGAACCCAGCAAGGCTTCCCTACAGTAAAGGTGTGTCATTTAGTAAAAGATGAAAACAATTGCTCAGATTTTAATCTTAGCCAAAGCTACCTAAAACAGAAGGGTCAAATGGTTTGCTATATATTTATATATATTTTTTAAAATGTGAAAGTCTAATTGGACTGGAAGCCAAATATTTCTTGGATACCATTTACATTTTATTTTAAGGAGCCGGGAATATAGCTCAGTGGAATCTTGCCTGCCTGGCAAGCATGAGGTTCAGAGTACGATTCCCAGTACCAAAAAAAAAAACCCAACCCCATATATTTTATTTTAAATGAAAGAAGAGATATAAATATGTTCTAAAAAGAAAAATAACTGCAAATTATGAATTATCTTCCCCATACACAATACTAAAATTAGAATTAATCCTAAACTAGTTTGTTGTGTTGTTTTGTTTTGTTTTGTTTTGCTCTGAAGCAGGAGTTTTCACTGTGCAATTCAGGCTTGCCTTGAAGTCACTACTATTCCCAAATCGGCCTTAAACTTTGGAGTGACTCTCCTGTCTCAACCTTTTGAGTGCTGGGGTTGAAGTTGTGTGCCACACCCAGCATCTCTTTCTTTTGTTTTTTTGAGACAGGGTTTCACTATGTTGTTCGGGGTAGCCTTGAACTCACTATGTAGCCCAGGCTGGCCTCCAACTCAGAGTTAACTTCCTGCATCAGCCTCTTGAGTGCTGGAATTACAGGCATCTGCTACCATGCCCAGCTCCAAACTTTATATTTAAAAAGAAATTTTAAAGTGAATACAAAGAAATAGAGTAAAAGTTTTTAAAGACTTAGAAAATAAGATTTTTGAGACGGCTAAAGCAATCAAAACTGTTCAACCCGGAAGAATTGATTGATAAGTAATTTAAGTCTTTTCAGAACTCAGAATACAGTAAAAAGTAGGGGGGTTAAGTTTTAACCCATGGTATATCCCATTATAAAGAACATTTCTCTTTGAAGATAGAATGAAAAAGAATGGTGTGGAAGATGTGTAACAGGTATCCCTAATCCTTGCAAAATACTACATAGGGAGAAATTTTGGCTCATTGCATGATAGAATTTTATTAAATACAGTTTGTGTAAATGTTTGGTGAATAATGTTTTAAGATTAAAGTAGAGAAGGGGACCAGTTACAAATACAGGATTTGATTTTAAAGATTTTACAGGTAGTTTCTAATTAGTGTTTCTGTTTTATGTTATCTGGTTCCAGCTGGAAGGCCATAATGAACCAGTAGTGTTACAGGTATTTGTGGGCAATGACTCTGGTCGAGTGAAACCACATGGATTTTATCAGGCCTGCAGAGTAACTGGACGAAATACCACTCCCTGCAAAGAAGTGGACATTGAAGGCACCACTGTCATAGAAGTTGGCCTTGATCCTAGCAACAACATGACACTGGCGTAAGTGCTTAGTAAGAATTTTTTCCTTGTAAGTTACACTTTTGTCATAGCCAGGAAAATTTCAGTTCTTAAGGTAAAAGAGATTTTGAATATTTTATTAAAATGTTTAAAATATTACAAATGAAAAATTAGATTACTATAGAGTAGCAGTGTGTTGAATTTAATTCTTTTGCCCCATGCTAAAGAAATGTGATTAACAGCAGGAAAAATTAACTAGGTGTTGGGTCTTTTGAAAATTATAGACTTACTGAAATTCATATTATTACATTGCAAATAAAAAGTTAAAATGATTTGCTTTTCTAATTCTAAAACAAACATTTGTTAATGTTTGTTTTAGAAACTGTTTTAATGTATACCATGAGTTATCTTGTCTCATTTATTTGTGTAAAGCATATTACTGGTCTACATTTATCTGTTTTTATTGTTTTTCTGTATTTAAAAAAATTACATCCTGTAGAGTTGTGGTGGCACACACCTGTAATATCATCCAGCACTCGGGAGGCTGAGGCAGGAGGATTGCCTCAAGTTCAAGGCCAGCGTGGGCTACATAGTTCAAGGCCAGCGTGGGCTACATAGCAAGACCATGTCTGAAAAACCAAAACAGAATTATATCTTGAGACCATGTATTTTTTTTTTTCATGTCTTTCTCTTTTCTTTTTTTTTTTTTTTCTTTTTTCTTTTTTATTTTAAAGAGTAAAACAAGGATAACATAATAATAAGGGGGACTTAGCATATTACAGACAAAATGGTAGGAAATTATCAATGGTTATCGTTTTACATATTATTATCTACAAAATAGTTTCTCAGGAAAACAAATAGACAAATAATAGTGAGTTAGAGACAAAAGAGGTAGGAGATTATCAAGAGTTGTTGTACTATACTTTGGTATCTTCAAAGTGGCTTCTAAAGAAAATAAATAGAGCTATACATGAGTGACCTATTGAAAAATCATTAACTATTCTCAGTGGTTGTTGTAGGAAACACATAATAATAAACATACATCCACTTATGAAATAGGATAGGAACATTACAAACTTAACACAGTTATGGATAGATTAGTAGGAAAATATCAATGGCTGCTGTAATACATGGTGGTATCTTCAAAGTGGTTTCTCAGGAAGACAGAGATATGCAAGAAGGATCTAATAAGTAGTTACAGCCTAAGGGTTGTCAAAAATAGCATATTACCTCCTCACCAGTGACTCCTTTCACTGAGGTATGATGGCTGGAAGGAAGGCCAGGATTGAAAAGAAGGACTGAGAGACTTGCACCTGTGTCTAGCAACAGGCTGTTTTCTTGTTCCTCCATAGTCATGATTACCCAGGACTCCTCGATGGAGATGACAGTCTGGCCAGAGGGAGAAGGCAGACCATGCCCCAAGCCCTCTCATTCCTGTTGGAGTAATTGGTAGCATGGGTCTGAGCTCTGGGGCCTCCACCTCAGAGGGCAGACCAATCTCCAGTGAGACCATGTATTTTTGATTTTAAGACATTTTTACTCGCTTAAAAATATTTGAAATGTTAATGATTTGATTTTTTTAAAGCTAATTTTCCTTAAGCCTTTTGTAAAGGATGCTTAACTCTAAAATTGAACCATGACAGCAGCAAATGTATTGGTACAGGAGAGACCTGTGTTATGGTTATTTGTAATGGATAGCTGCTGATGACATTATTTAAAGAGCTGGGCGTAGTGACACACGCCTGTAATCCCGGCACTCGGGAGGCTGAGGCAGGAGGATCATTGCAAGTTCGAGACCAGCCTGGGCTACAAAGTGAGCTCAAGGCCAGCCTGAACTGCATAGCGAGATCCTGTCTCAAGAAGACATTATTTAGTTTTCCTTTGCAAGTCATTTGAATAGATTGGCAAAGAGGCTAATTAGAAAGGGGAAATTTTGAGAAATATTAGGCAAAGATTTATTTTTTCAACTTGTAACTTTCAAAAATTATAAAAATAAATGTATGTAATAAAGGAAGAGTTACTGATAATAAAAATAGTAAGGACTGGATGTACACCTCATTTTTTTATTTTTATTTTTTTGGTTTTTTGAGAAAGGGTCTCACTATGTAGTTCAGGCTGATCCTGAACTTACTGTGTAGCCCAGGCTGGCCTCAAATGCATGGTGATCCTCCTGTCTGAGCCTCCTGAGTGCTGGAACTACAGCCATGCACCACCATACTGGGCTTACACCTCTTTTTATTTATTTTTTATTTATTTATTTTTTTGTCTTTTTGAGACAGGGTCTCGCTATGCAGCTCAGGTTGGCCTTGAGCTCACTTTGTAGCCCAGGCTGGTCTCGAACTTGCAGCAATTCTCCTGCCTCAGCCTCCGAGTGCTGGGATTACAGGCATGGGCCACCAAGCCTGGCTTACACCTCATTTTTAAAGGATATGTTTAGCAAGTACATTTTTAAAAAAATTGTTTGATTAAGACTGTTGTAGTATTTAGACATCAAAATGTTAATTGTTACATTTTTTTCTGTGTTAGGGTTGACTGTGTAGGAATATTAAAGTTGAGAAACGCTGATGTTGAAGCCAGAATAGGAATTGCTGGTTCCAAGAAGAAAAGCACTCGAGCCAGATTGGTTTTTCGAGTTAACATCATAAGGAAAGATGGTTCCACTTTGACCTTGCAAACACCGTCTTCTCCAATTTTGTGTAGTAAGTAAGAAAATATGTAGATATAAAGTATATAGAGACTCTTTGCTGTTAATCTTTCAGACCTCTCTTAGAGATTTTGATACAATCAAGCTTATAACTATGCAAAGTTTGAAATACATGAAAAGCTGTAGTCAGGAGCTGGAAACCATAGCATGCATCTGTGGTCCCAGCAGGGTAGAAGGCTGAGTAAGGCAGGAGGACCACTTGAGCCCAGGAGTTTACAGCCAGCTTGGGCAACACAGCAAGGTCCTATCTCTTAGAGTTAAAGAAAAGTATACTCATATTTCTGAGCTAAACTAAAGGTAAGTAATTGGAATAAAATTTAAAATGTATGTAGCATTTCATGGTTTCCTTTTATCATCACATACTGATTTTAAAAGTAATTTGAATGGTTCCCCAAAATAAATTCTTAAGCCAAAGCATTTTCGAAGTACCTACATTGTGGTTAATTGCTATGGTCCTAACTGTGTTTTGTGTTACAATGTAAAAGTAAGCAGAACTTTGTAAATAATAGCATGTTAGAAGTTCTAATTATAAATTAACAGTATTATAATATAGTGCTGAAAAGTGGAAAATAAAGCTTTTTATCATGTGTATTAGCATAGAAAGAAGGTAACGTGGGTTTATATTTAAGTACAATTGCCTTGTTATATGTTTCTCACTATAATTGTAGTGTCTCTCTAATGAGTACTAGATTATAAGTAAAAAATAGAGAAATTTTGTTATATCATTTAAGAAAACTCTCTCTTTTTTAAATTTGGCATTGCGTTTTTATAACTTATATTTGATTTCAAAAGAGAATTACTGTTCCATTCAGTTGGGTTTCCCATTGAGCTACTATAGGTCTTAGAACCATGCTACCCCTAGGATGGTTGTAGATCCCTTATTTAGTTGTTCCATAGTTTTGTCAAATTATTTATCCTTTGTAAGCCATATTTTCATTCATATCAGAAATTATTATACCTCAGCTAAATTTAAAAAGTACTAGAGGGGCTGGGGATTTAGCTCAGTGGCAAAGCACTTGCCTGGCAAGTGCAAGGTCGTGAGTTCGATTCCTGGTACCAGAAGAAAAGACCAAAAATAAATAAATACATAAATAAATAAAAAGTACTAGAAATATCTTCTGCTCTTAGGGGAATTCAAATGAATTTCTCTTTTTCATTATTATGTAAATTTTACTTTTATAGTGGTATTTTCTTGTGGTGCTTTCTAGGTAATATGTACTTATAAATAGGCTATTTTCAAAGTTTAAAGATTCTATGGCCATTCTGTCATGTTCGGGAAGAAACAGAATGAATAATCTATATATGATTTATGGAGTTGTAAAGCTTTTTTAGTTGAAGTGTCCAATTTCTGAATGTGCTGTTTCATGACATGGCCTTACTTAAATATTATTAGGATGGAGGTGGGATTTTAGTGAAGTATAGACTAACACTTTGAGCATGATCATGGCTGCTCTTCGAAGAACAGAGCCAGGTGGTACTTGATGGTTCAGATCATAATGCTTTAGCAGAGACTGGGACATAGTTGCCAGCTTGATTTGCTTATTCCTTTATTAGTTCATTTGTTCATTTCTTCCTTTCCTGTTTTGTGAAGTTGTTGACAAAGTATGAGTATACCTAGCTAAAGATGGTAGAAAATATAAAAGAAATAGAAAACATGACATCCTAAAAATTTTTGCCTATATTTATCATTGCTAAATTATCAGCATTAATGATAACGTGTGTCCACATTATAAATGCGTATTTCTCCCCCAGAAAGCTATTTTTGCAATAGATGTGGTAACCACAGGAAGCAGCAATATACAGTGGAAGGTACACAGAGCTAATAATAATAGCTACCATGTTTGAACTCTAGCTGTGTACCTGACATTTTGTTAAGTACTCTACATAAACATTGTATCATTTAATTCTGACTATCACCATACCTGGGTTCCATTCTGCAGATGATGAAACTAAGACTTAAGAGAAATCAAGACCACATAAGGGATGAATAGCAGGGTCAGGATTCACATAAAACGTCTGCTTTTAGCCACTATGCTGTGCTGCCATGACAGTTGCTCAAACTCAGACATTGAAACCAAGTTTGAACAATCCACTTCATCCTAGCCTTGGCTTCTGGGTGGTTAAAACTATGGTTACAGTGAGAAATTATTTGAGAACTATTTCCTTTATTTAGGAGATTTTTATTCTGTAAATTTAGACTTTTCTGAATTTTTTATAATGCAGATTTTACTTTATATTAGGGAATTTAATTAAATATGTATGTTTTTCCCATTTTCTTTTGTAGATGCCATTTATTATGGAGTTGTAGGACTTGCATTTTAATTCCTTTAATTGACTATTTGGCACTATCTTACCATCTCTTAGAAAAACTGGATTAGATAAACATTGGCAACATCTTTTAAAGAAAATGAATTTCCAAATAACTAGAAAAAAGCAGTCCGAATATTTTCAACACACAGAAACGATTGAGGAAATAGAAATATCTCATTACCCTGATTTGATTACTATATATTGTATATGTGTATCCGATTATTGTACTATACTCTATAAATATGTACACAGATTTTGGGTCAATAAAATTTTTATTTAAAATAAAACTGTCATTGCATGATATTTAAAAAATAAAAGAGTTGTCAGAAGGTATTTGAGTACTTGATTAAGATGGGATCACAGTAAGGGATGAGGCCTGGGAGCCTGAGAAGCAGTACTTGGTTATCTGTTTAGTCAATGTGACAAACATTTAAAAAATAAACATAAAAGAGAGAAAAGGAGGTGGGAGAAGACAGAAAGAAAGAAAAGACTATGTTTGTAGAGATGGTCCTTGTACTTCTTTTAGAAGAGAAAGTGCTAGAATAATTATTTGCAAATATGTTTTCATACTTCTTTTTAGTATTTTCATAGAATTTCATATCAAAGTTTTTTTCCTTAAAGCATTGTATAGCTACCTTAAAATACTTATAATAATTTCTATAATATTAGTTAGACTTAATCATCTGGCAAGAGACTGAGCTTCTCCATATACTCTTAATGGATTAATGATTTGATTTTTTTAAAAATCCATTGTTTTATGTAAAAATGTGAATTTTGTTTTATGCTTATTGCTTTTCAGGAAATATTATTAGTCATTGATCTGTAGATTGGTTAGTTATTTAATTGGCAACAAAATGAAAGATTTAAAGTTTTTAAAACTACTTTTTAATTGTTTTTTCCCATCCAATTACTCACCAGGCCTGACCCTGCTTAGCTTCCAAGATCAGAAGAGATCAGATGTGTTCAGGGTGGTTAGCCATAGGCTTTTTAATTGTTTTTGCTTAAATGTTAGACTAGGTAAAAAAGAAAAGGTATTAACTTTAGTTTTACTTTTCACAGTAGCATCTTTCTGTTCTCTACTAGATGTTCTTCCTCCTTAGTGAGTATTGCTCATTCCTCCTTTTTAGTGAGTATTGCTCTAACAGTGCTGCCCAGAAAACAGTTCTGGCTTAACCTATTTGATCCTGATTACTGTTCTGTGTTTTTATTTTTATTTTTTATTTTTTTGAGACAGGGTCTTACTATGCAGTTCAGGCTGGCCCTGAGCTCACTTTGTAGCCCAGGCTGGTCTCGAACTCGCAGTGATCCTCCTGCCTCAGCCTCCCAAGTGCTGGGATTACAGGCATGCGCCACCATGCCCAGCGTACTGCTCTGTGTTTTTAATAGACTAGAAAATATTCATTTCATTTGCTCTGTAATGGAAGAGAGAATAAATTTTGCTTATTTAAGAAGGGTTATGGCAGAGGAAGTAGATGTTGATTTGTCTTTGTGTGTGTGTGTGTGTGTGAGATAATAGTGGTTGAACCCATGACTTCCACAATGAACCCAGCCCTTTTTATTTTTTTCATTTTGAAACAAGGTCTCACTAAGTTGCCCAGGTTGGGCTTGAACTTGTGTTCCTCCTGCCTCAGCCTCCCAGAGTACTGGGATTACAGTCATATGCTCCCATGCCCAGTTTTGTCCATTTTTTTGAGTTGATATCTGCTGCCGAATATAACAAGGAATTTATTTTAATTAATAGTAATATAATAATGGACGTATTATATATTTCCTCATTTGTATGGCTTTAATTTTTTAGTAAGATATTGGCATAGAGCAATGTCATTTCTCATTTTATTTTTTTAATTTTTTTGGGTTTTCTCCAGTACCAGGAACCGAACTCACGACCTTGTGCTTGCCAGGCAAGCGCTTTTGCCGCTGAGCTAAATCCCAGCCCCTCATTTCTCATTTTAAATTTAGATACAGTCAAGTTCATGTTTTAGCAGCTTCACTGAAAATATAGTTCATAGACCATAAAGTTCAGCATTGTAGACTGTACAGTTAAGTGGGTTTTAGGATATTCACAAAGTTGAATAATCACTACTATTAAATACTTTTAGAACATTTTTATTGCTATGCCGAAAAGAAGCTCAATGCTCATATGCAATCACTATCCATTTCCCTGTCACTTCTTCCCTAGAAACTACTTCTTTCTCCAAGGATTTGTTTATTTTGAACATTTGATATAAAAGGAATAGTAAAATAGTAGGCTTTTCTTTCTGGCTTCTTTGTATGTAGCATGTTTTCAAGTTTTGTGTGTATTGTAATATATACTTTATGGTTTAATGGATAAAGGTACCATTTAATGGATAGGTACCACATTTTGTTATTCTGTTTATCCATTGATGGACATGTAGGTTATTTCCATCTGTTGGCTATTGTGAATCATGCTGCTCTGAACATATGAACATATGTGTTCAAATTCTGCTGTGGACATCTGTTTTCAGGTCTCTTGGGTCTCATGGTAGACAGTTTATTGCCTTCACTTATCTGAATTTGTGCTTTAGGATTTACAGAATTTTCGGTTTGGTTTTGTTTTGAAGATTGTTGTATATGTCTCCCTTTTTAAACATTGTTTTTTCTAAAAATAATTAAGGGAAATAAGTTCCTTGTCTCAACTTGATTATTTTTATGTTTGTTTCTCTT